TAATGACTAAAATACATTTTAGTTCTGATTTCCTTGGATTTAATTATAGATTTTGGTTATTATTATAGCAATTTGTATATTGATCTTGTTATCTCTAATTTAGATTTACAAAGTTATTCTTCTTAATTATAATTTACTTATTAACTTTGTATGGAAACATTGGATATAACTTTTATTAAAACCAAATTATAAGGAAATATTTTATGTTCTTTTGATAAATATTTTAAAACACTTACACTTAAACTTGATACTGTAAGTGCTATTAATAATGATGATATAATAAAAATAAAACCTGGTGTATTTAAACTAGCAAATAATGGATATTCTTGTTCTGATTTTCTTTAATAAATAACTGGAAAATTAATTTTAGAATCAAATTTAGTTATAGAATCAACTTAAACAAGCCCTATTTCCATATGTTAATAAGCATAAATAATAATATCATGTATTTAAAACTGTGGTAATAAATTATTTAAATAAATTACTTGGTCACTCATTTCTTCTAATGTAAATACGCAAAATGAAATAGCTTAAATAAACGAGTAAATTTAATAATAAAATAACAAACTAGTTTTAGATATACCACCTTTATAATTAAAAAAAAATGGATAATATTAATTCTAAGTAGATGTGCTTTCCTAGTTTAACTAAGTAGCAACTGCAAATGCAATAATATAAACATTATAAGACACATCAATAGACATAAGAGTAAAAACAAATCCGAAATAAATTTATAGAAATAATTTAGTGAAAATAAATGTTTATTTTAATCTTTTGTAATGTGAAGATGATGGAAAAATATCTTATCATTAAGAAAATGTATATGAAGTATAAATTAAATAAAATGACAATTTAACTGAATAATTAAATATCGATTCTACATAATAAATTTAAGGAACATAATTTTAATTTCAAATTTAACCTTTTATTATGAAAATTAATACAACATATAATATATAAATTAGAGTTTCTTTAAAATCTGATCCAACTATTACTCAATAAATATTATATCCAATATAAGTACTTTCTAATCCTCCTTTGGTTTAAATTTTAGGAGGAAATAAATAATAATAATATTCATAAAGCTTTATTCTCGAAGGAAAAGTAGATGATCCTAATTTATCACCTAGTGAAAAAAATTCATTAAAAGAAACTAATTATGGAATAAATTTAAATTGGTAATGTATAAGTCTAAGTACAGGAGATAATTGTAGTGATTCATAAAATAATTTAATTGTTTCACCAATCACATAAAACTTGTAAATTAAAATATAAAAGAATATCTTACAGAATTTTTAATAATATAAATTTAAACTATAAGGAACAAAAAATGGAATAACCGTTTTTGATTAAACAATAATATCAATGGTTGATTATGATGTTCCCCCTGTTTATACTAATATTTCTATTAATAACTCTTAAAATAGAATAAATTTAAACTAAGAAATATTAACTTAATTTGATTATCAATGGATTACAAATGTTGATAACTTAATAATTACAGGAGTTATTTTATATTAGAATTAGTAAAAGAATATAATATCAATAAACCATAAATAATTTAGATTTTGTGTTTGGGAATTATTTTTCGACTTTTTAAGAGAAAATTAAAATTAATTTGAATTAAAATTTTCAATTAGAAAAATAAATTTTATAGTACCTACATTCATTTCTTATACTTTAAACGCTAATATACCTCCGTAAGAATGCACTTTTGATTAAACTACAGGTTTTAAAGTTTAAAATCTGTAGGATAAATAAATTCTTTAAATAAACGGATGTATTGATTTTGATTAACCTCTATCTTATTCTTTCTATTTTTATAAAAATTAAGATGATTATAATAAAGAAATAAAAAATGCCTAATATATTAATAGGCATTTGTTGTCTGATTTGTCACCAAAGAATAATATCGAAACTGTCTTACCTTATGGCGTTTCTTTAATTATGGGAGTAATATAAGATTCAAGAGGAGGAATAAGAAATATAACCTAATAAATTACAGTAAGTTAATATGATGTTTAAGATAGTTCTTCATATTATAAATTTATAAATAATTGGTTTGATTAAACAAAATAAACTTATTTAAATGAAAATAAAGTTATTAATTATAATATGATTATTTAAGATGTTATTAATCATATAGGCGTCCTTTAATTGTAAGAAAATACTTAATTTACACAATTATATATTAATATTTTAAATGAGATTGAGAATTTATAAACCTATTTTTATTAATAAACTAACTCTTTGAACTATTTTATATAGACACTAATAACATTAAATTCTATATTTAATAATTTTCTTAATTAAATCGTATCAAAATTAGGATTTGGTAAAATCCAGTAATTTATTAATAATGTTCAATAAATAATAACTGATTAATAAGCATTTATTAGGAAAGAACTAATTTCTGACACAATATAATATGCTAATGTTTTTTAATAAATACAAATTCTTATGTTGTAAGCATAAATAATTCAAAAGATTCAATAAGTTGACAGATATTCATTTAATCATGAATAAAACACATAAATAGATAAATAGTATATATAAATAATGTAAATAATATCGTAAACATTAAATATGATTTAAATTACAAATGAAAATCCTATAAAAGTTTTAAATATAATAACTTCTCAAAGAATAACATTTAAGATTTTAAAAGAAAATTATTTGATATTAATTTCAGATGCATAAAAAGATGATATAAATATAGACTAAAACTAAGAATGTCTAACATACTAGGTAAATTATTTAGAATATCCTTCTTCTGTAATTAAATATGATAAAAGATTCCCTTACCCTAATAATCATCCTTTTGTCATAAATGAAAAAACAATAACTTTTCTTTAAAATTAATAATAAACACCAATTAATATTCCTTTATACAACGTTTATAATTTAACTTAAACATTAGATAATATTGATAATTATGTCTGTATATAAAATATTTAAGATAAATGGATTAATTAAGATTGCTTAATTTTACATCATAGAAACGATTAAAATAAAATTAATTAATTTATATGTAAATGTAAAACCTAAGGAATATAAACTCTTGTTAATGACATAAATGGAATATTTAAAAAATCGATCCGTTCAAAAGATTGGTATTTGTATGCTTCTGTGTGGACTTTAGTTGCTACTACTATAATTTATATAATTTTATTTATGTATTTATAATAAATTGATAATATTTAAGACTAATAAATGGAATAAAGCATAATAAAAATAAATTAAATTAAATATATTATTTTTTAAGATTCTATTACAGATGAAATAAGATAAAAATAATTAACTAATATTTTTTAAAATGATGAATAAACTATAAAAATACAAAATTAATATCTAGAGAAAACTACAACATAAAAATAAAGTATTTAAAAAAAAATATTAATTATAATATTAAAATTAATTTTTACATTCAATTTTATAAAAAAAATGTAAAAATAATTTGATGAATAATAATTATTAACAAATAATATAAAATATTTTTTTTATTATAATATATTTTTTTTTAATCTAATTTTTTTGAAGATACTTAATCTGAATTTAAATTCAATAATTAGTTTTTATAGAGTAATTAAATTATAAATTCCACTATTTTAAATGAATTATAATATTAAAATGCTTCTATAAAAAATGAAAATCATGCATAACCAAATAATGTATTTTATACATAGAACTTATAATCAGAATAATTACAAAGATAAAAATAATAAACATTAGAACCTAATTTATTAACAAAAAGAAATAAGATACTTTTCAAAAAGTAAATATATCCATTTTAATAAAAAGAAGATAAATAAATATTATCATTAAATAATATAGAAGGTTTTATAAAAGTTAAGCTTAGTAAATTATCTCCTTAATAATAAGATTAAGTTGGTATATAATAAACTAACTAAGAAAATGGAATATAACCTCAAAACGACTAGTATAAGGTTTAAGATGTGGAAAATTATTCGGGTACACCCATAAATTATGTTTAGGCTAAAAGAAAAAAACGTTTAGCAAGTTTGAATCAATTAGTATGTCTATAAAGTTAATTACATAAAAATACAACAAGCAACTAAAATTAGGAATAGAGTTTAAAGGATAGTGATAAATAAGATTAAATAGGAGAAAAAGATAGTGATAAATAAGATTAAATAGGAGAAAAAGATAGTAATAAATCAAAATAATAATATAAAGTTAAATCAAATGTAAATAAAAGACAAAGTAGCTTTTTATTTTAAATAAATAGTAAAATTTATAATCAAAATGAAATAAATTAACTTTAACTCTTTTAAAATCAAAGTAAATTTATTTCAGTTATAAGTTTACATGAATTAATTTAATTATTTATTTGCTTTAATTAATTTTTAAGTAGAACTTTTAGAATAACTTCATAATATGTAAAATATATAATACTTATTACTACTAATTCTATTATTTATAATGATCTAATGTTTATTTAAAAGATAATTGTTAATCTATTCTTATTATTAACTATTAATTAATTCATTGTTTTGGCAGAAAGTGTTTATAAAAATAATAATAAAATATTTAAATCACTATTTTGTTTCTTATTCATTTTTATACTGGTAATTTGTTATTACTACATTTGTATTAATATTTTTAAAAAATTCGAAATTTAATATAATGATTGGTTAGCTTTTTATTTTATAGTAATATTTTTTGATATTTTAATTTATTAAATTGCTTCTGCATTTATTAAATATATGTTAATACAATAATTAATATATAGAAAATTTGATAAAAGATATTTTTGTATAAAAATATATTTATTTAATATTTTAAATGTAGAAAACTATATAATGAATATTTATAAAAAAAAATATTGTGTTTGACCTTTATTTTATTAATAGTTTTTTTTTTATATATAAAAATAATGAAATATTAATAAATTTTGATATAATAATTTTTTATTATTATAATAATAACATTTTTTTATATATATAAATAAATATTATATATATATATATATATATATATAAATAATATATATTTTAATTATTTAATATAATTCAGTAAATTAATATTTAAATTAAATAGAAAGATAATTTTATATATGATTTATTAAAAAATTATAATTAAAATTATTTAGTAAATATAATATATATTTATTATTAATTATCAAAAATTTTATTTATAAATGAAATAAATATATTTAAATAAAATAAAATATTTTTTTTTTTTTATATCTTATATTATTTTTATTTTTTCTTCTTTTATTATATTTACCTCCAAATATTATTTTTTATAAATTTCTTATTTAAATATTTTCATCAAAATTTTTACATGTATATAATGCATATCTTCATTTATTTATTTTCTTAAAATTATTTTTTATTTGTTTTTATAATCTGTTTTTATGTCTTTTCAAAATAAATCATGTTTCTCTTTTTATTTCAGTATACTTGTTATCATAATATTATAAATTTCAATATTCAATTAGATTATTTAAGATTTTCTGTTTTATAAAATACATTATGCTTTTTTTTTTTTTTTATTCTTAAATATTTAAATCTTCGATTTAATCATATTTATTATTATTTTATATTTAAAATGGAGGTTTAAGTTTATTTTTTTAAGTTCGATAAAAATATTGCATGTAAATATAATTTATTGTTTGATTAAAATACTAAGAAACATAAAAATAATATAAATATATATAAAAAACATATATTTTAAATATATATATATATATATATATATAAAAAATTCAAATAATATGAATAATAATATTACAGAAGGTTATATTTTACTTATTTATAAATATTTTTTAAATAAAAAAATTGTTTCTAATAAATAAAATAGATTTTTAAGAGTCTGTGATTTTAAATAAACTATTATATAAAGAGTAAATATTGGATAGAATTTCATTAAAATATTTATAAATATTATAAAGATATTATAATTTATCATATGAGGATTTGTAAAAAATTAATATTTTTATTTTTTTAATAAATAAACAAAAAAAGAGAAAAAGAAATTAATGATATATTTAAAGAAATAGAAAACTATGAATTTTAAATATCTAAATCTGAAATTTAAGTTTATTCTGGAATAAAAGATTTATAATAAAATGAAAATATGGCATAATAAATAGGTTTTTTTTTTTTTAAAAAAAAAAATATTATTAAATATAAATTAATAAAAGGAAATTAAATACTAGAAATAAAAGAAGGAATAAATAAAAGTAAGGAATAATTGAGAGTTGAATCTATATAAAAAACAATAGAGTAGAATGCAATTAAACTATAGAATCTATATTAAGTTATTAAGAATAAGAAGAATTATAAAAAAAAATTGATAATATAGAGAAAAATATTTAAAATATTGAATTATAACAAAATAAAAGACTTGAAAAAATTAATTAAAAAGAAAAGCATATTCAAAACATAGTATTTATTTAACTTTTTGCATTTATTTTTTTAAAAAAATAAAAAACTAATTAATTAGTTGTCTAGTTTATAAGAATTATTAGAAGGAGATATATAAATGAACGTAACATTATGAAAGAAAAAGGAAAAAAATAAAATAAAAAAATATATATATATATAAAAAAAATACATATAAAAAATAAATAATTATTCATGTATAATAAATTAATATTTTATTAAAAAAAATAAAAAATAAAAAAATTAAAAAATAGCATCCTAATTAAAAAAAAATACATATATAATATATTTATTTTAAAAAATGTCAAATAAAAATCTAGAAAAAACCAAAAAATAATCAAAAGAAATCAATGAAAATTCATCCGATTCAAATTTCGAAAGTGACTGTAATTTAGAAAAAAATGAAATTAACCAAAATTTAGACGAAGAAGAGCGTATTTCCTTAAGAAAACATTCATATGAATTATCAGCCGAAAAAAAGCTTTAATTATTAAAAAAGCGTAAAATATGTGGATTATTAGAAGGCTGTGATTCAGTAGATAATTACTAAAAATTAAATAAAATACATGAAGGTGTATATGGAGTTGTATACAGAGCTATAGATAAACTAACAGGTGAAATAATTGCAATAAAAAAGACTAAAATTGACCGTACTAGAGAAAAGGATGGTTTCCCAATAACTTCAATAAGAGAATTTAATATATTAATGGCATTAAGACATGAGAATATAATAGCAGTAAAAAGAGTTGTCGTAGGTAGTGATTGTGATATGATATATATGATAATGGAATATATGGAACATGAATTGAAGGATTTAATAGAAAACCAAAATTTTGATTTTACTGAATCAGAAATAAAAAATTTGGTTTATTAATTATTATTAGCAATTGAGTTTTTACACAAGAAAAAAATAATGCATAGAGACCTTAAAACTTCGAATATTTTATATAATAATCAAGGATAATTAAAAGTAATGTGATTTTGGTTTAGGGAGAAAATATTAAGGACTAAACAAGCCTTATACATTGAATGTAGTCACTATGTGGTATAGGGCACCTGAAATTTTATTAGGATAAGATAGATATTCAACCGCTTTAGATATGTGGTCTGTTGGGTGTATTTTCGGAGAACTTGTTATAAGGGATTAATTATTTAAAGGGACTTGTGAAATTAATTAAATAGAAAAAATATTCAATGCAGTAGGAGGTCCAAATATAAAAGATTGGAAAAATTGGGTAAACCTCAAATAGGCAAAGTTTTTTGAAAAAAAAGAGTATCCGTAAGATTCAAGTGGACTAAAGGATATTATTGGAAACAAAATATCTTAATAGGGATTTAAGTTGCTATGTGATATGCTTTGTTTAAATCCTGATAAAAGAATTACTGCTAGTAAGGCTTTGCAAGATAAGTGGTTTAAGGAAGAACCTTTACCGGCTAAAAACGAAGATATGCCCAAGTTTAAAGCTTTAAATGAAGTTTCGAGGGAAGAAAGGAAAAAAAGTAAAAATAATTATTAGTAAAATTAATAATGACTTTTTATATTTTACTTAATTTTATTGTATATTATGGATATATAAAAAAATGTATTATATTAATTTTAAAAAATAATAATTATTAAAATTTTTATATATTTTTTTAAATTTTTTTTTTTTTTTTTAAATTAAATTGCATTTTTTTATTTGGGAAAAAAATATTATAATATTTTATTAAAATTATAAAATTGATTTATAAAAATGAATATAATTTATATAAAAAAACTAGATGAATATATATAAATATATAAAATATTAAAATATATATAATATATATAATATATATATATATATATATATACATATACATATATTTATAATTTATATTTTTGAAAAAATTTTAAGAATATAATTCAAATAATATTTTTATGAAATTTATTAATGCTTTTAAATTTATTTATAAAAATATTTAAATTAAAATATAAAAATGAAAATTTAAATTAGTATAATAATAAAAGCAAAATATAAAAAATGTAATAAAATAATAAAATATATTGATATATAGATTATAAATAAAATAAACATTAAAAAAAAATAGAAAAAAAATAAATAATATATATATATAATTAATTATAACAAGAAAAAAAAAAGCAGGAAAGAGAAATAAAAAAAAATATAATAATTAGATATTTTACATTCAAGAAATGCTTCATTAAAAAAATAAGAATAAATTAATAAATAAAAATGAACATTGTAAAAATAAAAAATTATAAATAATATTTATATAACTACATATAAAGTTAATAATGTTCTTATAATGGATATAAATGAATAAGAAGAATCTGAAGATGAAAAAACTACAAATATGATAAATAAATTTAAAGAAGTTTAAAACTGCTTTAGTAAAAGTGAAAATAATTAAGAAAATAAAAATGTGACTTAATATCCTATTTAATAATAAGCTATGTAATACTAATAAAAACAAAACTAAGAGCATTCATTTTAAGAATACAAATAACAAATTTAAAAAAAACCATAAACATCTAATATATATAATTATTTTTAAAATATGTTATCTTAAAGTAAATAAAATATAAAATAATTAATTATATATAAAAAATAATAAAGAATAAATTAATAAAAGATAACAAGAAAAATCTTTAAAACTACCAAATTATTCATAACCTAATTTAATATAAGATTAATATAAGTAATTTTATTAATATAAATAAATAAAAAATCAAATATAAATATAAAATAGTTCTTTATTTTAAATCAAAAATATAAACGATGATTCAACTTTTGATTCAACTTCTTATGTTTAAGATTAAAAAAAAGTTAATTATTAACAAATTTTTTAATAAAAATCATTTCATTAGCCTTCTTAATAAAACAATTAGCAAAAAATGAATGAAAATCTTAAATTTGCACAAAAATTTAGACAAAATCGAGTTATGAGTTAAACTGAATAATATAATTAATTTTCAAACCAATAATAATTATAATTACAATAATAGCAATTATAATAATAATAATAATAAAAATAATAATAATAATAATAATATATATCTAATTTTTAAAATATAACTCTTAAAAATTAATAAAAGAAGTTTTTGAATTTAATTAATCCTCCAATTTTTTCCAACAACTCGTCCTATTAATCTTAATTTAACTGCTAAATTAATTCATAAGGAAGTAATAATAGTAATAATTAAAGTTTCCAAAATAATTAAAGTTTTTAAAATAATTTAAGTTTTTAAAATAATCAACGAATTGATTTTATGTCTTTTTAATAAAATTAAAGTTTTGATAGTTCTTAATAAATTAATAATTCAAATAGCTTGAATAACTCATATATTTAACAGTTAATTATTTAATAATAGGATTTAAACAGTAATAATAATTCTAATTATTCATATAAATAATAAGAAGTTGAGCAATTATAAAAAAGAAGCTTTCCTAGTTTTTATTAAGAACAGTAAATTTTGGAAGAGGAAGAAGATAAATAAGAAAGTGAATAAAACAATTAAAAAAAAAAATGAAACCTAAAGGAATTAGAAAGAGAAAAGTTATTCCTTAAGAAGATGAAGATAATTATAGAATTAATCCTGAATAAGTAATATCTTTTTTATATATATTATATATAAACTATTATTTTTTATCTATAAAAAGGTTAGATAAGATAAAAGAACTACTATTATGATTAAAAATATTCCGAATAAATATGATTAAACGTCTTTAATAGAAAAAATTAATAAAAGCTTTTTAAATAAATATGATTTTTTCTATTTACCAATAGATTTTAGTGTAAATATAAATTACTTATGTATATATATATATATATATATATATATATATAATTAAAATAGAATAAATGCAATATGGGTTATGCTTTTATTAATTTTATTGATTGCTCTTATATTAAATAATTTTATGAAGAATTTCATAACTAAAAATGGGTTCAATTTAATAGTGAAAAAGTAAAATAATTAAAATAAATATATATACAAAAAAATTAAAAGGTATGTTTATTATATTATGCAAGATTACAAGGATATTATGAGTTAGTTTAACATTTTTCTCATTCAAGTGTAATGAATTAAAAGGTATTTTTTATATATTAATCTTTTTTTTATATTGTTTTAGGATAAAAGACTTAAACCTATTATTATTCCATAATAATAAGTTGCTTATATTAAATAATTAATTGAAATTTAAAAATAAAAAGAGGAAAATAAATAATAACAGTAAAAAATTCCTGTATCTAATAATTAATTAAATACTACAAACAAATGAAAATTTTGTTAAAGAAAAATAAATAAATATAGATTTATATAATATATATAAAAACAGATAAATTTCTCCTTAAAATAATATTATAATAATATAAATGTTGGCAAAATAAAAAAAAAATATATATTTCATATATTTTTATATAAAATAAATAATTAATATAATATATATATATATATATATATATATTTTTTTTTTTTTGAATATTTAAAAAAAATAAAAAATTTTAATAAAAATAGTAAATAAATATAAATATAATAAAGTAGTTTTTTTATTATTTTATATAATATTAATTCTATTAATTATTAGTTAATAATAAATAAAATGTTATTTTAAGAGAAAGAAGTAGTTATATTATATATTAATAAGTCATTTTTAATACTAAAATCTACTTTTTATATTTATTTTTTTTAAAAAAAAAATTCATTAATTTTTTTAATCATCTAAACTTTATTTTTATTTTAAGTCTAAATAGTTTATTAAATAAATAATAAAAAAAGCCTAAAAACTATAAAAAGAAATATAATATAAATTTTCATTATAAATAATTATTTTTTCGAGTAATTAATAAATTTTCTCATAAAATAAAATAAATAATGCACTACTCAATACAGTTTAAGAAAGTTTAGGTAAAAGTCCAACAAAAAATCCAGAAATCCCATTTTATTCATAGATACTTGAGAGTATTTCAAGATAATTTTTATTTTTTATAATCTAATATATTTAAAAAACAATTATTATAAAACATATAATATAGATATAAAACATGTTATTTTGTCCTTATTAACTAATATGGATATGTAAAAACGGTTGCAATAAATTTACTTAATGCACCTCCAAAAAAGAAAATGAGCCCTTCATAATTATTATCAACGAAAATCTTAAAAACCCATTACTTATATGACTCATAAATTACATAATTAATAATAGGATTAAAAACAAGCAGAAGGGAACTAGTTAAACCTTTAAAGAATATAAGAAATCCACCTTACATAAACATATTACTAATAGTATTAAATAAACTTGTCTTTTTTTTAATATTATTATTTAGTTTATATATATAAATATATATATATATATATATATATATATATATATAATTTATAAATATAAATATTTTTTTTTTTTTATACATGATATTTTATCATATGAGTATGTATAACCCAAAATGGATTTGTAAAAAATGAAGCTATCATTCCTGCTATCATTGAACACATTGCGTATTAAAAAATACTTAGCTTATGTTAATTAATCATTAATTTTAAAAAATTATAACTTAATTAAAAAGTATGGTTTAATAAAAATTATATTTTTTTATTACATTAAAAAATATGTGAATTGTGAAACTATATTTCCTAATACTACTGCAGCTAACCCTTTGTAAAAGCCTATTATACATAATTAAATTTTTTAAAAATATTTTTAATTAATACAAAGGAATTTATATTATAATATTTAATTTATATTTAATATTTTTTTTATTTTAATCAACTATTTTAAATATAAATATTACTATTTATAATCATTAAATATTAAACATAATATTTTTATTAATAAAATTACATTGAAAAAAAAAAAAAAATATTAAATCAAAATAAATAAATTATATAAAAATAAATTAATATAATATATATTTTATATATATTAAATATTTCTTATTTTAAGTAAATATATGTTTTTATTTTTTATCATCAAATATTATTCTTATTAATTTTTTTTTTATATTATTATTAAATAAAATATACCTTTAAATTTATCTTTTTTAAAAATATTATAAATAATAATTTTTAAGTTTTAATAAAAATTTAACTCATCCTTCTTATCACTATATATTTTTTATTTTTTTAATTATTTATTTATATCTTTTAAATAATTACTTTAATTGCATATGAATTTTTATTGTGTCTATTGGAAAAAGTAAGCATGTAGAGATTAAAGCGGCTAAAGAACCAGCTATTCCATGTATAATTATTTAAAATTAATGCATTTTAGTTATATTAGTTTTCTTAAGAGAAGTTACTTAACAATTTAATTATAAGTTTATTATTAGTTTTTTTTTTTTTTTTTTTTTTTAATAAAATTTTATAAATATTTTGTTTTTTTTTGTTTTAAGTTTTTAATAAATCACTATATATATTATTTATTAAATGAAATATATTATTAATTAACAAGTTTTTAAAATAATTATATAATTATTTTTAAATTCATATGATTTTTAATTCTTAATATGTGAATTTTATTAATTTTCTAATTATTATTTAAAAGAGTCTAATAATGTAAAAAATATTTAAATAAAAATTAAATATTGTTTATATTAAAAGGAAGTATTATTTATAGTAAATTATATTAAAATATAAATTGAATTTACTTACTAAAATATTAAATAATAAAGAGTAATTATTATTATAATTAAATTCTTAAATAAAAATAAATGTAAAATAAAATATTAATAATATATAAATTAAATAATAAAATAATATATTTATAATTTTAATATTTTTTTGTTAAGAAAAAAAAAAAACACTAAAAGAATTCATATTTATTAATTTTAAATATATTTTATTTATTTTTAAAATCTATATAAATGAAATTAATTAATATAATTTTTTTTAACTATTTTTTATATATTTTTTTTAATGTTATTATTATAAAATTTATTTATTTTTAAACTATATAAAAAAAAAACAATTGAAATTATAAAATAATAAAATTTGATATTTATTTCATAAAATACTAAAAAAAAAAAAATAATATTTTTGTGTTTTTTTTTTTTTTTTTTAACTAAAATTAAACAAGAAAAAAATTTAAACTAATAAATTTTATATTTTAAAAATGAATAATAACGAAAATAATATAAATTATTAATTAATTAATTAGTTTTATAATGATTAGTCTAATTTGTTATATAAATAATAATAGCCACATGATTAATAATCATGGGATAATATAATAAATCAATTTAATTTAAACAATAATATATGTAGTGATTCGCATATATTTGCTTCATTTCCATCAATATTTTGTTCAAATATATAATAAACACCATTTATAAACAATAAGAAGACTAATAGTAATTAAAATATATAATTAAATAAAAAGATAAATAATAATTAGAATGAAATAAAAAAGTTAGGATTATAAGAAAAGAAGTAAATATAATAAATTAAAATAAATGATAATTCTTTAAATAATAATTCAGACTTTGAAAATATTTAATCGTCTTTTTCTAATGGATAAAAAGAAAGGAAAAAAATTTTAATTAAAAATTATATTGATAATATATGGAATAGTTCTTTTGAAGAAAATTTCAGTTAAAAATTAAAGATTTCTATTGAAATAAATGAATTATTATTATATTTAATTTCTAATAAAAATAATTAATATAAAAAAAAAAAATAAATAATAATAATATATATATATATATATATATAT